TACTGAATCAGTAAACTGGGTTACTTAATGCATTCACTAAAATATATAATATATTTTGTGGTAGAAGACTACTACTATTTTACTACTACTCCAGCTTGACCAATCATCGGCTTTATATTGATTTAAATTTAGATGTACCCACAGGTCATTGGAAATAAAACCGTTCATCTGTTTATCTTTCTCTGACCTTTGAATTTAGTCTTTATGTGTTGACAAAAAGTACAATGAGATTTACCGTTGTTCTCATTTTCAAGGTCACTTTTGATTTTTCTTTAAGACTTGTGGTAGTCATTAATGTATAATTCTTTTTAAAACGAATACTAAGAGAAAATTAACTTCAAATAAAAGCTAAAGGGTGAAATACACTTTACAAGGCTGTTACATAGGTTATAAGAAGACATTTGCACAAAGTTTAATACAAATCTTTTCTGGCTTATAGGGATTTGTACAGAATCTGATCTGATATTGTCTGTAGTGATGTCACTTGTTGCCTGGAGACTTCCGTTCAATAAACACCTTCTACTGCTCTTTGTACTTAATGTAAAATAGGTGGTAGTGACAAACTGGAGCTTAATGCAATGTTGGTGTTGCTGCACTATGCTGGTTTTGTTGAAATCTCCAAGATGTTAAATCTACAAGATATGAAATCTTTAAAACCCTCCGGCTCTGATTGGTCACGCTCTACTGAGAAGAAGGAGCCTTGCTGCTGGAAAGTTGTAGCTTACCACAAATCCCATATCAAATCTGATCTGCAGGGGAATGGATTTAATATCAACCTGTGGCAGCTCTATTTTATTTAAGCTGTATTTAGATAAAGGTTGTAACTTTATGATTTTCTATGATTTTTAATATTTTGGTTGTTGTTGTTGTTTTTTTACTTTAATAATGACACAAACACAGCTATATTGAAAGACGCATTTTATATTATTAAATGCGTATATTACAAATAAATAAGTAATTTATTTGTAATAGTTATCATAGGTATATTTACTTATGCCCTGGTGTACATCTAATACATGAAATCAATGGAAACCTAGTGACTGCCTGCACGTAGCACCCCATTTAATTTCTGATTAATGAAACTGTACTGAGAGTAAACATTTCTCTTCATTGTATTCTATAAAGCCTCTCATGGGAACCTAGCACACACATGTCCAAGGGGCTTTTATTACTATTCTCTCTATGCAGAAATCCATGCTGAACCATTGTGTGCTAATTAAAGATGCTGTCATGCGTAGGCGTCTATGAGCCCAGTGGCACATTATTGTGGCTGCATAGCTTTGAGTTTTCTGTCATCTAATAACCTCCTCTTGTTTTTTTCACATTTTGCTATTCTTTTTTTTAGGAGTACATGCACATGAAATCACAGATGTAGTTTTAGTGATATGACATTGTGAGGTTGCCCTGGGGGTTTGCAACACAGCCGATGTTCCAATGGGATTATCATTTAGGGAAAACTGATGGCTGCGTGTAGTGCAACGAATGCTTGGAGAGTTCACAAAGTAGTTACAGGAGGTGATGGAAGTGCCACTGCATCTTTTGCTTCAAGGGTTAGAATGATTTATTTATAAAACTATTATTTTTTTGTTGAGTTTATCTTGACTTATTTTCATGCACTCATTTGCTTCCGTTTATTTCCCCCAATAACCTGCTGTACAGTTCAGAAAATAGCTTTATTCTTGAAATTTATTTACATATGTTTTGCTATTTTATGGTATAATTAAATGTAAAGTTGAGTGCTGAACTGAATTTGTATGCCTGTCTGGATCATAGCAGGATATATAAGAAATCTGAAAAGTATTATTTTGGATGATTTTCCTTTTAACAGTCACATAACTCATTAAACACAGGGGAAGGCTGGATGAGATGCTGAAACCAGATAAGTTACTTCAAAGAAAATCTGTACCTCCTATCTCTCAAGATGCAGATTAATGATTTCTTGACATTTTGTATTATTCTGATAACACACACTTTCTCAAAGTTGGTGTGTGCACTCCCAGTGGCCACAAAGTAATTGTTGTTGGAACACATTAAGACAGTGAAATCGTGTCCTCTAATGCATACACTGATGCATAGACTAATTCATGTTCACAGGAGCTGTCGACCAGGTTACCCAATGTAGTTTCCATTCATCTTTCTTTATTGAATGTAATTGAATAATGTAAAATAATAATAATAATAATAATAATAATAATAATAATAATAATAATAATGTATTCTGATTCTTCTATTATAATTCCTCCAAGGAAGGCATGGCAAAAACTGCTAAAACACTGCAAATTTAAAACAGCACTGATTCAGGAAGCGTACAGGAGTAAATCAAATCACTGGTTAAATGTAATTTCCACAAAGGTCAAAAGTTACCTGCCAGTGTTGAAGTATAGCATAGCTGCATTTTGCAGTTTGTGGTGGCAGCTCATGTATGACATTGGATGTTTGTTGCCCATTTTAGCATGAAATTGTCACTGTGCTGTATGACAACCCCTAAGTTGTGGATTAATGATGCATACTAATATTTTCTGCATACCATTTTCTGCACAGGGGAAGAATTGCCTTTTATTTTCTTACTTTGCAGCTTACAGCAGCAGGTTAGTATAGAGAAAGTGCAAGAGTTGAACTGTACAAAAATTGGATATTCTGAAGCTAGTAATAAACAATTATTTATTCAGCATCTTTTTAGTTTCATTAATGTAACACTAAATCATTCAGGACAGTTTACACAGTACGAAAGAGACCTTGGAGTGTTGTAGAGGAAAACCCTGTGATCTTTCCATGAGTAAGCAATTGATAATTGTGAGGAGTAAAAAGACCCATTTAACAAGAAGAAACATTGGGCAGCACCAAACTCGGGGAGGACAGCTTTTGACTCACCTGGGTGGGGTGAGAGGGGAGCAAAGAGGGGAAAAAAGGTTGATCATTAAGAGATAGCAGACACTGAGCAGGCTGTTGGGGCCAGTAACTACAGAACAAGACATGTACAGCTCTGGAACCAGAGATACGGGCAGAAAGGTACAAGAAGAAAGAGGACAGAGAGGAAAGGGCACAAACTGCAGGAGAGAGAATATCACAAAGTTAATTAAATGTAAAAGTGAAGTCTAAAGTGTGGAGAGTAGAGGAGAATTACTTAGAACATTATGGGAGGTCCCCATAGCAGCCTGAGCTTATAACGATATTATGATATTACTAAAGGATGACACAGGGATTACAAAAGTCCACCTTAGACATGCCAAACAATACTTTTTCACCATTACTGTGATACAGGATGTGCTCAATTTTGACAGCACTGGATAGTTGAAAGCTTGAAGTTCTAGAGACTTCAGTTATGTGTGGATACGGATATGCAGTCAGGCCCCTTAGTATTTGGACAGTAAGGTGTTTTTGTTTTGTTTTTTCTACTTTTGTAAATCACACAGGGTTTTAAAATCAATCAAGATTTTATTGAACTGCAGACCTTCAGGTTTAATTCAAAGAATTTACCAAAAGGAATGCATTGTTGTTGTTGTACTTGTTGATATGATATATGTTTATCTTTAATGATGTTGGTCCATCTGTCTGTCCTCAACGTTCTGGAAAGAAATAATCTCAAAACTTATGTTCAACGAACAATCCCATCTTATAACTCAGACTCAGAATGTGTTAGGACAGTGATACATCTTTAAACATATTCGCACTACAGCCGAATCTGAAATCAAGGTCTGCCTGTCAGCATTGATATGAAGGTGTGTTTACATAATTTGAGTGGTGTGGACTTGTTTTGGTTGTCTTGCTGAATGTCCAAAAAATGTAGAGCAATGCGGGAAAAAATGTGCCAAGATCTAAGATCAGCTTTAAAACTTGGACAATCGCTGCATTTGCATGGCAGATGAGGCTGCCACTGAAGCAACAGGCAGCAGTTGTGCTAAGGCCATGTTGATAGGCTGCACAAGGTCTTAAGGTCCTATATAAAAGATCTGAGATACTATAGTCTAACGCAGGGGTGGGCAACTCCAGGCCTTGAGGGCCAGTGTCCTGCAGGTTTTAGATATCACCCTGGGTCAACACACCTGAATTAAATGATTAGTTCATTACCAGGGCTTTGGAGAACTTCAAGACATGTTCAGGAGGTAGCCATTTGAATCAGCTGTGTTGGATCAAGGACGCATCTAAAACCTGCAGGACACTGGCCCTCAAGGCCTGGAGTTGTCCACTCCTGGTCTAATGGTATTGTAAATGATTCACAGAGCCCATTGACAGAACAAATGTCATGTAGGGTATATGAAATCATGGAAGCTTTTTTACTGAAAACAACTTGATGAGGGCTAATACTTAATCTGAGAAAATATCTCTTTTACATCATCCTGTAAACCTAAAATGCTGCACATTTAAGCAGTAGGTCTTGTGGTTACTTAATCAGATGTGTATATTTTTTATCATGCTGTTATCATCCTTGAGAAGTCTGTTCAGAATATTCATTTATGAGGAGAACTATATGTCAGTTAGTGTATTTCTTTTAGGAAACCATTGGCATGACCGGTTGGTTACGTAGAACCACTGTCCCAACTGTGTGTTAGGGCATGACATGACTGGCGGGTTTTTGTAAATATGATTCTTTTCATGACATAATGTAAAGAAAAATAATGTGAAGATAAGTCATAAAGATACTTAAATAAGGACCAATCTCAACAGAAACAGAAGAGTACCACTGCTGAATGATAAACTATTTAGATCACTAAAGAAATAATTTAAAACCCACTATTAAAAAAACCATTATATTTGCCAGTCTCGAATTTTGAGATCTTTGTAGAAGAGATTTTATATTTAAGTCGTTTTCAATGCATGTATAAAGCTGTTGTTGCACCAGCCCAAGCAACACATTGCTGACTTTGCATGTTAAATCAGTAATAATACTTCTTAGTCCTTTTTGTTTGACAGCATGAATATTTTGAAATTGTAAATATAACTTGATCACCATTCAAATCTTTACGTTTTTCTCTGTATCTCTTTCTCATAATGTTTTGTAGGTCCATTGCTGTGTGATGGACGACTGACACACCTCCTCTTCCCTTTGCTTCTTCTCTTGCGGGCTCCCCTGTTATTCAGTTTTGGTGAGCGAACATGCCCTAATAGCTGCCGATGTGAGGGAAAAACTGTCCATTGTGATTCATCTGGATTTTTAGATGTTCCAGAAAACATCTCCGTAGGCTGCCAGGGCCTTTCCCTGCGATACAATGAACTGCATACGCTGCTACCATATCAGTTTGCTCACCTCAGCCAGCTTCTCTGGATCTACTTAGACCACAATCAGATTTCAGTTGTTGACAGTCGAGCGTTCCAGGGGGTCCGCAGACTCAAAGAGCTCATACTGAGCTCCAACAGGATTACAGCCCTACACAATTCAACATTTCATGGAATTCCAAATCTTCGAAGTCTGGACTTGTCCTACAACAAATTAGAAAACCTACAGCCAGGTCAATTCCATGGCTTACGAAAGCTACAGAACCTTCACCTACGCTCCAATGGTCTCTCCAACATCCCAATTCGAGCATTTCTGGAGTGTCGAAGTTTGGAGTTTCTGGATTTGGGTTACAATCGAATCAAAGCTCTTACCCGCACAACTTTTCTGGGTCTACAGAAGCTGATGGAGTTACATCTGGAACATAACCAATTCTCTCGGATCAACTTTTTTTTGTTTCCACGTTTAGCCAACCTAAGATCACTTTATCTGCAGTGGAATCGAATTAGGGTGGTCAACCAGGGTCTGCCATGGACATGGTATACACTGCAGAAGCTTGATCTGTCTGGAAATGAAATTCAGACTCTGGACCCAGCTGTGTTTCACTGCTTGCCCAACCTGCAAGTCTTAAACCTGGAATCCAACAAGCTGTCCAATGTGTCTCAGGAGGCAGTGTCAGCGTGGATCTCACTGACCTCAATAAGTCTTGCTGGCAATATCTGGGATTGTGGAACTGGGATATGCCCACTTGTTGCTTGGTTGAGAAATTTTCGGGGTAGTAAAGACACAACAATGATATGCAGCAGCCCAAAGTATCTCCAGGGAGAAAAAGTCATGGATGCTACAAGGAGCCATGGTATTTGTGAGGAAACCGATTACATTCTGACTGAAACACCTTCACCAACATCAGAGCTCATTTCGGAAGCCACTGCCGAACCAACCTTTGGCCCCACAAGTGGCATTCCACCTATGCCACCGACCAGTACCTTTGGTCCTCTCCCACCATTTAGACCTCGACCCATTCCTCATCCTACCTTTCCCGGGCATATGAGCAAAGATCCCAGAGACTCAGTGGTTCGCCCTCGACCCACTCACATACCACCCCCAGAGATAGAGCACATGACTCTGCACAAAGTGGTTGTGGGCAGCGTAGCACTCTTCTTCACCATGTCGTTAATCTTGACAGTTTTTTATGTTTTGTGGCGGCGCTACCCAGGTGCAACCAGGTTGCTGCAGCAGAGATCCATGGTGGGACGGAAGCGTCGCAAAAAGAGTCCAGAGCCAGAACAGAACCTCAGCTCCCAGCTCCAAGAGTATTACATGAGCTACAATCCTGCTGCAACACCGGAAGCATTGGAGGTGCTAGGCAATGGCACTGGTTCCTGCACTTGCACAATTTCTGGCTCCAGGGAGTGTGAGGTATGATCGATCGCATCAGCCTAAAAATAAAAACTCAAAATCAAAATACAAGACCCAACAGAGAGGTAAATCCTTTATCAAGTATGTACTGTAAGAACACTAATCACAGTTAAGCACCCTTAACTCTTCATTTAAAGCACGCTTGACTCCAAATGTTAGATGTCTCCAATTATTCCAGTTTTTTATTTTGAAACCAACTCTAAAGGGGAAAATACAAAAAGCTAATCTGATCAAGGAAAATAAATCTACATCATGGTCTCAGAGGACTGCATTAACACAATAATTAATGCATGCATAATTTTTTGTTCTCTGAATTATATTGGTTATGGCTTTAATTACCATTCTTTTGGTTGGAATTTATCTTTATATCACTTGTTATCTGGATGATCTTTTCAAAGCTACCCTTTTGAAAATGTTCTTCATGGTATATAGACTTGAAAGCACAGGGAATAATTGGAAACTGTCTAACTAATTTGTAGACACTACTCTACATTAGCATTGCATGGCTTAGATGTTTTAAAGCTTTTTTGGTTTGCGTGTTTGGAGGAGTGAGAATGATGTGTTTGTGTGTGCGTGTGTGTGGACTAATGCATAAATGTGTGCCTACATAATTAATTTTTGTAATGAAAAATGCCAAATATACTATATTTAGCATCTATTAAGGTAAAATCCCAGGGTCTACGAAGTGCAATGCTGTTAAGTAAGAATTTGGTAGTTTTGCTGTCACAAAGTGAGAGCAGCTGATCAATACTAGATAGAACATAAAGTTCAAATATATTGCCTATCGTCAGCTGAACATCCATTATAGATGTCTAAAGTTGATGATCTGCACTGAGTGTGTCTGGCACACTGTATGCCTCCTCACTTGAGGAAATTTATGTTAATCTGCATAGAGGGGAGGCACTATGGTAATCCCAAAGCTTATGATATGGCTTAAATGAGGATCCCTCTGCTCTTGTAAGGAGTGAATGTATAAACCATTGTAATTACAACCACCAACATGAAAATATGTCTAATTTTGGGACAAAAATTTTACCTTTCAAAATAATGACTGCACACCTGTGTGTTTTTCACCAATGGGCCCAAGATAGTTTAAGTAAATTAAAATACTTAAAATATTTTTGTCTAAATATTTTATTTTAAATGTGATTGATTTCAATTAAATTGAAAAAAGGGGAAATTGGAGGATACAATACATCAAATAATAGTTTTTTCTCTAGTTATCCTAATTCATATTCAAACTTTGTGGGTTCTAATGTGAAAGAGGCTCACTGAGCAAAATGTTTAATTTTGAAATTTAAATTGTTAGGTACTATTCGTTTTTACTTAAACTATAAACTTAATTTTCTCACATTGTGAAGTTGTAATATAATAAGTAAATGTCAGTAAGAAAAAATTTTTTTTTCCTTCCCTGTAGGTGAAGTCAGCATTACAGCAGTGGGGAGGTCGAATGAATTAAAGCAAGTCAACCAAATCACCTAATCAAATCAGCCTGTTCCATATACTCTAAGTCGTAACTCACTTGATATTGACAATGGAGCAGGTCCAGCTTTTAACAATTTACATCAACTGTAAAATTGTTTTCAATCTCCTACTTGCAGTTATAGCAGTATTTTTATTCCAGTTTTCCTTGAGGCATGTGTTTACAAGGACATATTGACAGTTACAATGGTAGCTGGTTTGCTTTCATGATTCACTTTCATGATATTAGACTATTGTAGAGTTCAGTCATAATGCACTGCATTATGATCGAATGGATCATGTCAGCAGTAAAGATAAAGAGAAATGTACTAGGATTAAATTGATTTCAAGTCCTCCCAAGGATAAAAAAAATGGTGTGTGTTAAAATCACATGTACTTATATACAGAATAAACAAATGGCGATCAGTTTCATGCATAGATTTTTGTGAGCAAAGCAGCTAATCAAGCAGTCAGACTTCAAGGATGAATGAAGGAGCACTTCAAAGATGCAGTCCAGTGGTTAAGGGGTGAAACTAATGTCAAATCTAAAGCCAATTAGGATGCTATTCATCCAGAGGGTTATGGCTTCTTTCAAAAATTCTCCACTTCCCCTTTGGTGCTTATTCAGTTTCAATTACAAGTTGTCTTGGTGGCATAGAGGAGGTGTTTTGATATCTCTTTCCCAAAGCTTGTAATATTTGCTGAAGAAATCTCAATTTTGTGCGCATCTTGAATGGATGTTTGCCCCTAAACTTTACTAGTACCCCAAAACTACGCCAATTGAAAACTCTTAAAAGAAACATACCTTTGCTTTTGTAAATAGAGAATCAGATGCCTGATTACGCCTGGGTTTGACCAATACTAATCTACCCTCCAGAGATCAAAAACACAGCTGTACATAGCTTTTCTCTGCTCTGAATAAATGAATCTGGGGCTCATCAGTTGCAAATAAAAACCAGCCAATAAAAGGTATCTTGCTCACTTGCATACTATGAAGGTTTTTTAAGCATTGCTTACCCTGCTACAAGACCAAGCATCCAACACACATTTACGCTGAACAAAGGACATTATGTTAAATTTACATATCTTTAGGCCGGTTTTATTCAGTGGAGTATTTGGGGTTTTTTTTCTGAACAAGGATGTTATTAACTTTTCACTGTAGAGAATAATGTGGGAAAACATAATGTTGTGCAAACTCAGTTAATAAAGTTAATTCTCACTTTCAAAATCCTACTTGGAATTTGGTAAAAAGCATTTAGATTAATAGTTTGTTGGGCTTTTTTTCATTGTTTTGTTTTTATAGATGTATGCAAATTCCAAAGAAGTCCATAACATCAGAGTTAGGTTCTTTGTAAAGAATTGAAAAAAATGAATGTCTTTTAAAGATAAAAAAGTATTGTATACTTCATTTGAAAAGATTAAGAGACCCATATTTGTACAGAGTCTTGTGACTGCTGTGTTAGTCACCAGCACACAGCTTGACTCCAGTTTGATACAAACAAAAGCAATGCTCTGATTCTCTCTTTTGACTGCAAATATTTCTGTAGCAATCAGTGTCAGTGTAAGCATTGTTTCTCTACACATAACCATAATCCAAATCTCATCATCTCAAAAACAATCTTTCCTTTTCAACATCACTGACGGTGTCTACAGTAGTTTGCTTGGGGGCGTTCTACACTGTTGCCTATTTCAGGCGTTTAATAATTGAGAAGCTGGTGTCAGCCTGGTTTAGTTTGATGAAAGTGCCATCTTACTGGCTGTGCCTTTCATTACGGCTGTGTGCAGCGCCAGCAGTCCCTTTTGGGTGGCAATGGGGACGAACAAAAGCTAGCACAACACATTTACTCTGGTGTGGCTAGAATTCGTTGAGGTATTCTGACTGACACGGCATGGCATCAGAGCCTAGCTGGAGACAAGTTGATGTCTTTTTTTACTTACATCCTAAAGATTTTGAGGCAAGAAACTCAACACTTAAAAGTCTGTGCAGCTCCAGAGGTTTGTTTTTCTTTGGGGGGAGAGGGGGTCACAGGTTGAGGTTAGCTGTAGTTATGCATGGCGTTTGCTGAGATCACCAAAATGGATCAGTAATAAACCATGTACAGAATTCAAATATGGGCAGGTCTCTCATGTAGGAGTTGTGGAAAATTTACATCTATGGGAAAAAAAAAACAGCTTTAGACGTGGTGCCTAAATGATAGCAAGCATTACCACAAATAGAAATGAAACGGCTTATTTCAGGAAGCTCATATGTGTGGGTATACTCTGCTATTCAAGATTCACAACTATCATCCTATTTATCTTATTAAAACTTCCCTTGAAGCTTTAATAAGCCCTGGTAGGCCTCATTGTTTCTGTACCAAAATAGTGATGTTCATGAATCTTCAAAATAGTGAATGCTGAAGTTTAATTTACATAATAGCATTACATTAACAGGCGGCATGAAGTTTAAAGCATAAATGGGTGACTCTTTTAAATATTAGAATGATAATCTTTGCCTTCTGATTCATTTTGTTGCTGATCACATTCGGTTGGCAACACAGTGCTGTATTTCACTGTAGATGGGTTCAGCTACTTTGAAATATTGTAAAAAGTCTAGGCTATGGAATAAAATGGAATAGTCTTTGTTATAACACTGAATATGTTTCAATCACATTTTTATATTTCTAAAATTATTTTCTAAACCCTTGGAATGCCTTTTAAATAATGAAAAATGATACCCCAGTTAATACACAATTTATTATAATTACTTAAACTGAAAAAATAAATCAATGTCATTTAAGAAATATATTTTTTCTGTCAGCAGTAAAGCAACTATTAACTAAAGTTTAATTAACTATCAGTTTATATTTTATTAACAAATTCTGTTATAAAGTGATATTGTGAAAGGTCAATTATACATATTTTGACATACAATGATAAGAAAAGGATAGTAGTAAAACATACAGTTGTGGACAGCACGAGTATGGTTGCAGTGTGAGCATTACGTCATGCTGCTCAGCTCTGTGGCTATAATATAGCAGTACACAGTTTTAACTCATTGTATTCAGTTTTGGTGTTGATAAAGTTGACAATTCTCCCCAGACAATGACATTCACAGACTCTGTGTGTGAGCTATGATAACAGGCGGATTGGTTCATCTTCTGTTTATTTATTTAAATTTTTTTAAAAGATGTTTTTGCTGCATTTCAACAACCATTCACTTTTTAAGACTTCAAAGCATAAATTAACTTCATCTTGGGCTTGTTTGTGATCCTCCTACATGTTGACAGATTATTGAATAGTACAAATTGTTACACATACCTATAGGGCAGTTAAAATAAATAATACTGGGATGCATATTTTGATCTTAAGAGCCCATGTATACATACATGTATTTTTGGTAAGCAGTTGTAATGATTTTAATGTTGTACTGTATTGGTGTTGTATGTGTGTGGAAAGGCAATCATATGTGTTTAAAATACTGTTATAATAGCACGCTTTGACATGAACAGTCACTAAAATAGTTTAAGAAATCAACATGAGGTGAGTGATGTTTGATT